ACTTGTACCTGAGAGGTGGTGTAAATTCCTGTGGCACTCTCAAACTTGAAACACAGAGTAGTCTCCAACAGCTTGTTTCCAAATGCTATTCTTCCCTGCAGTGAAATCAAATATAAAAAATATGAGAAAGCAACATTCAGGAATATATTGCCAGAGCAATGTTGACTGTGCAAATGAATGTATGAAAGATCATATATTTGAATTGCGGAGAAAGATATTAAGACATTGGTGATCAATGCAGTTATAAACACAACTTAAGCAGCTGTGAAATTAAAGCCTGAAAAAATTCAGGCCTGAACGGTATTCGAACCCATGACCTCTGCGATACCAGTGCAGTGCTTTAACAACTGAGCCATCAAGCCAACTGGGGGCTGGTCACATTGTTAGTTCATGATATACCCGTAGATGGTGAAGAATGCAAATGAATATATAAAAGATCATATATTTGAACTGCAGAGAAAGATATGAAGACATAGATGATCATCACAGTTATACACACAACTTAACCTGTATACACAATGTTGACTGTATTTTAAAAAGATTGTCTGATGTACATACACTGTACAAGTTAGCACGAATCAAAACTCATTTGTTTGATGGAAATAATTAGTCAACCCTCTCTTAATGGACACCTCTATAAGACGGACACCTGTATAAGACGGACACCTAGTGCTGGTCCCGCCCATTTCTCAGTCATTTTACTATAACCAAACTCTCTATAAGACGGACACCTCCATAAGACAGACAATGGACAATTTGAAATCGTCAACGGACACATGTGAGGTGTTGAATGTGACATCTTTTTAGACTTGGAGCCGCGAAAGACAGTCCTGAGTCATAAGATGCTTATGCTCCCCGTTTGCAGAATGTACTGTTCACAGTTTGGACTCTAGTTAACCCTTTAACTTCTGATTGTAATATGACAAGAGACTTAATTTTATAAATATGTTTTAGTTCCAGTTTGTAGGTTTCGTTCAAGTAAATAACTTAAAACAAACTTTAAACAGACACGTATTCACTGTGCACAGGTTCAGCATTATTACCTTAAAATTCCTGGGGTCATGTTACGTCAACTCTCTACAAGCCAAACACCTCTCTAAGACAGACAGCGAGGCCGGTCCCGATGGTGTCCGTCTTAGAGAGAGTTGTATTGCTAATACATAAATTCGCCCTTATGCTTGTGGTGA